ACTAAGGTAATGGAGCAAGAGGACAGTAACCAGTTAATACTTTCCTGTTGCCCCAACAGAAAGATGTAGAGAACTTAGTGGTGGCCTACCAGATGGGATAATTTCTGAGAACACAGTACTGCAGTCAGGGAGCGGAAAGTCCCTGGGAAGTGCTCGGTCTCTTCAGAAATGGCAAAAAGATAACCAAGATTTCAGAGCCTGGTTCTCTCTTAGGTAGTTATTTGAGTAAAGTAGATCTGTGGAATGGAATGGAATGTAAAAATTTAAAATGTTCTCTTTTTTCCCCAATGCATGTATTACATTGAGTATGATCAGACAAAGAGGAATATTGATCTTTGATTACTTACTGATATTTGATTATTCAACTTTCAGTTCTCTTTAACGGTCTATTGTTCCACTGCTGTTAGCAGACAGCCCCTTTCTAAACATCTCCTAGCAAATTCTGAGTCTCTCTAATCTTTCTGATTCTGTTGGTAGTTTAATTTGCATTGTCATGCTTGCTCCCCTGATTTGGCTTTCATTTTGTAGTTTATGTCTCAGCAATTCCCTTTAATTTCAATATCTCAGTAGTCTTTGAGTCACAGTGTTGAACTGCACCAATACAATGCAAATTCCAGTCAAAACTGAAATATGTGATGGTGAAGTATCATGGAGGTACTCAGATCACAGTGGCAGAAGAGTGAATCCATTCAAAATACCAAGTGTATACAATTGTTGGTCTCCTGTGGGGGTGTGTGTGTTGCGAGTTTTGGTGGGTTTTTTTCTTTCTCATTTTTTGCTGGAAATGTCACAATTTTTTAGTTTGGTCTCCTGTGGTGGTGCTTCCCAGGAGAATAAACAAAGTCATATGAAACCCTAGAAGGAGTCAACTGCCCAAATGATTTCCAATTTTTCTGAAAAAAAAAAAAGTTTTATCTCGATTAATTACTCTTGTTGTGTTTCAACATAATCTAATCTTAATCCTTAGAGGCATTCAGTTCTGGAAAGGGTCTTTTGTAATAATTGTGACAAGCTAAAAAATAATTTTCCAGTTTACTGTATTTTTCTGCTTAATTACTATGACAAAAATAAAAAGGGAACTACTAATGAAAGTGGACTTAGAGACGCACTAGGTACCTTCAAAGTGATGTATAGTAGTTATGCCCCCTGAATTCAATTATCTGTGAAGAGTATTCATGCACAGATTGTGGTTCCTGTGCTTGTCTTTGATAATTTAGCTGCAATCTGATGCAATAATAATGATTTCCTTTTATTTTTTTGTCTCTTTGTTCCCTCTAGAATGTTTGCTTTTCCCATAGGAGGCCTTTCTCTTTACAAACTGAACACTTATTTAGTCGTTGACACTACCACTGATTTGTGGAGTAAAAGGATGATCAAGAATATTGGCAATTTTGTCAGAGTGCCTCATTTACCTACTGATAGACAACAAACCCTTTGTCTCTTTTTTATGATATTTCATCTCTTCCCTTTTTATACTTCACTGAGCTCATATTAGCAATTGACCTGCAGTGTGGAAATGCAAACCCGTTTCACGATGGCTTTAGGCAAACAAAAGGATCATCAGTATATGCAAGAGCAAATCAATTTTTCCATTCTCTGCAAGAATAAAATAGCCATTTTGAGGCATCTCAATTTGAGCGTTCCTGAAATCTGCACAGCGTACCATAATTGCTTGCAGAGACTCGTCCTAATTGGCAGCTTAAGGAAAGAGACACAGACAGCTCTTACCACTTTCCACATGGAAAGTTCTCCAGAGACTCTTGAAACAATTAATAGACATTTCTGTCTTTCTGCCTAAGGTGCATGACTTGAAAAAGCAGATGAAATGATAGCATATCACACATTTAGGAGTCTGTGAACTTTTCCCAAAGCAGATGACATCCTCTGGAAAAAGAGAGATGGGGAGAGAGGAATGCGTAGGGGAGTTTCATAAATACTTTTCTCTCTTTTTCCCATTGTTCTATGCATGTGTGTGCATATGTGCATCTGTAAAACGTTACATCTGGATTTTTCCCCTATGAAAACTTCGGAGCTGTATTTTTTACTATTGTGATCAAATTAATTGATTCATTACAGATATTGAAGGCTTACATGTCATTTATTCAGTAAGGAGGTTTATATTTTCTCTTTTTTTCCATACTGAGTTATTGCAGTGTTTCTCCTACAATGTCTTCCGCTCTCCCTAGGGTTAAAAACAAAAAAAAACAAAAAACAAAACAAACCCACATTTCTTAATTTGTTTCTTTTAAACTTTTGTTTTGGAATGGATGATGAAAATACTGCAACCCAAGGAGTTGGTTGGGTTTCATAAAACAAAGGCTTGTGTTTTCCCTTGATAGCTGACTAAAAAAAATCAAAACTGTTTACTGAGGTTTTAATATGGAGGGGTTTATAATACAGTGAATAATATATAAAATCATTTTAGATTCTCTCTGGTATTGAATAGACACAAACAAGTTGTTTTTAAAAAACAAACACCCCCACTGATTCCCCATGTAATCTGTATTGGAGGTGCTACATGTGTGATGTACTTCTGCAGTGAACAGCATCTTTCAGTATACTGTCTGCTAGCTTGAACTCTCACCTCACCCACACAGGCTCCATCCTTTCTCAAATGTTCTCATAGCTACCATGAACTCTTACTCTGGCAGTTACCTTGTAATCACAGCAGACACAGTGGAGGCCTTCCCTGGGAGAGATGTAGAAAGTACAGCGATGGGATTTTTTAAGTGCAAAGAGCTATTGCTTTGGGTACTCCCAGCTGCAGGTGAGAGTGTGTTTAACTGGCAGGTAAATACATGCTTATTAAGAAGCTTAGGAAGATTAACTTGGTGTTTTCATAGCATCTTTTATATTTAATCTCCTATTAAAATCAAGGTATAGGAAAGAAGTTATTTTCCAGCAGATACTTTTTATTAAGTATCACTGTTCATGAAGATGTGTTTTGCTTTTTTACCTGTTAATCGTCCTATAGACTGTTTTGAGAAAAGAGACTGGAGGAGAGAACATAGAATAAAATCAATCAAGAATCCTGCTACCAGTTCTCTCACCTAAGAGCTATTTCCTTTGCAGCAGAAAATGCTAGCACATTTATGTTTTAGACATATACTATATTACTGTGCTCAGTGATGCCAAGAACCCCATGTCCCATTTATCTGACTTAAAAGCTTATCGTAACCATTATCACTTTCATCTACAGCAAAGTTCAGCCAGCTGGCTTTTGTTATGCATAATTACTACAGAGGAGAAATAATAAAATAATATTCTTTAAATGCTGGTTTCTTTTCCTTTTTCCCAATTTCTTCTGAATGACATCACGTGGAATGAATTTGCACTCCAGAAACTGCAACATTGCAGCCCTTGTCTGTCTCCATATCTACCGTTCTTATCATAAAATATATTCTGGCTTTTGCTGTTCAGGGCACCTGTCTATAATATAAATAGATGCTAGCTTTTAAAGTGAGCACTTCAGATGTGGTAAGTAGAAGCTGTATGCAGAGGTTAAGTATGGTCTGCAGACAGTGAGTGTGCTTATGTTTTTCTAATACTTTATTTCATGGAATTTGTTTTTACTCCTTAGGGAGGAATGCTATTCTTTAAGGTGTGATCTAACTATTTTTTAAGGAGGGTTTGTCAAAAGAGGAGGGTCACCATGATCTGAAAATCCTAAGTCTTATCATCCCAGTTTCTGAAGTATTTGAAATATTTCAAAGGCTAAGGGCTTCCAGAACTTTGTCTTCAATTTCCAGGTACGATGGCAGGATAAGCATCCATGCCATAGCACTGAAAGGAGGGAGAAGCTCTGCTTCAATAGTTTCCTTTCAGCTATCAGTACAAGGAGCATGAATGTGAACTATATGAAGATTCTAGAGAAGGGTTCAGGGAAGGGAATATATGCCTAGTAGATGGCTTGTTTTGAAGTGGGCTGTGCTGGGAAGACTTGCACATCCAGGTGTCCAAACATCTCAAATTTGGCAATACCCAATAGATTTTAAAATTATAAAGTCATAGGTTTTGTCTTGTTTACATTTTTTTCCAACTTCTGAAGCTAACAGTGGAATGAAAAAGAGGATACCATACTTAATCTTTAATCCTTTTGTGCACTGGCAACTGCAATTTATGCAGCCTTGGATGGACCCCCTAGTCACAGCAAATTGCACAGAACCTATCCATGGAGAGGTTTACTGGTATGATAGTCTTTAGAGCTCTTAGAGGATTTTCTTAGAAGTAAACTATTCATCATTTTCAATTTCAAACAAAAAGAATGTTCATATGAGAACATGCTGCTTCGCTTTGAGATAAATACAAGGGCATGCCAGTGGTGTCATGACCAGCTGCCAAGTGGGAGATGCCTACAGACTTCTCCAGTACAATCAGCCACTGGGTTTATCCTGCGGCCACATGGTACAGCAGCACAGCATAAGCCTGTGCCTCTCTCAGGTCAACTCTTACGAGAAACTTTAGCTCCTCAATGTACAATAGTCTTCCGATTAGGACCACTACAGGTACCAAAACCAGATGTACAGTTGTCCTCGTTTTTTCTTCTGAACAAGTTAACAATCAAAAGAGAAATTATAACAGCATTTTCATGGTTTTAGACTGAATAGTTCTTATGGTAATAACAAAGAAATACTCAGAACTCTTGAACATGTTTTGTAATACATATTTTGTAATATAAATTCTGTTGCAGTGATTGCATCATTAGATTTTTGCATTGGAAATGTTGATGCAAAGCAAGTGCCCTGCAGACTTGGGCTGTAAAAATGTAACCAGGTGTGCTAGGAGTAAAGTCAATTCATCATCTAATTTCTCTGCAACCATAAAAAAATAGTGCAGATTTCCAAATCAAGTGGTTGCCTAGCATCATAAATGCATTTCCCCTCTTTTGAGTTTGCAGCCACATGCTTCTGTTACCCCTTTGCATCTGTTATAACCTCAGATGCCTTGCTTGCTGTAGTGGATTCCTCACTTTCTTCATGCTCTCCCGTGTATCGTTACAGTGGTCAGTGTACATCCGCGCTGCTGTCCGCAAAGAAAAAGGATTGCCAATCCTGGTGGAACTGCTTCGAATAGACAATGACCGGGTGGTATGTGCAGTTGCTACAGCTTTACGGAACATGGCCTTAGATGTCAGAAATAAGGAGTTAATAGGTATGTTTTTTCCAAACAATCTATATATTCTGTGGGTTTCGGGTTTTTTTCCAGTTTGAAGCAGAATGAGCACAATGAAAACAATTATTTCTAGGACAATTTCTTTAATTTTTTTCTTTAATGTGTCATATTCAGAATTTATGTGACAGCTTAGTGCTATATTGCAAGGAATTGTTAGATTAATTAAACATCATGCAGTGTTTCATGGTATGTCATGCTGTAATCTCCCATAAGAAAAGCAATGGCTTTGTTCTGCTTTAGCACTTCATTCCTAGGCTGGCAGTTAGCATTTGCATCTTCCAGATCAAGGATCTTAAGCAGAGCAGCCACTCCTGATCCTCATATTATCTATTGCAAGTAACTTTGGGGTCATGAAGTGAGAACTCATGAAGATTTTAAGATGCTTTCAGGAATTTACTGGGCAGATTAGTAGCTCCAGCAAGAGAACTGGATCCTTGATTCACAAACACATATACAGTTAAGGAAGAGGACAGTAATTTACATAAATCATTGTTGCCCCTAAATTCTGATGGTATGGTAAGCATACGCCTTGGAGTTTAGGGGTTTTTTTTGTTTGTTTAGGTTTTTGTTGGGTTTTTTTAGCCGAAATTCATGCAAATGCTGTGGATCACTGAACTTTTATTTTCATGTTCTGTCCTTGAAAAATAATCCCTTCCTTGATTTTGAACTTTTCAGCAGTCATGACAAAATTATTTCTACTTCTGTACATTAAGAGCATGTTTTTAATTCATTTTTGCTAACTTCTTAATTTGTTATCATTACAGAATAATTCTCCTCCTGTGGTTTTAATTACAGAATTCAAAACATAGATACTTCAATAGTAATGTTTTATTATTTGTATCCAGTGCTACCTCAGGGTTAGTGCTTTGTTACAGCAGTGCTTTGCAAGTTAAAACAAGGCAATCACTCCTTTCATGTATTGTACGAACTAAAGAGACTTCAGTGACAAAATGTTGTAAAGCAAATAGAGGTAGGGGTTAGTGAATAGTGTAAACCTGCTGTGATTGCACAGGGATTGAACTCAAGACTGAAGCTTTACCTATAAGACCAGCCTGCTCATTCAGCTTTTGCTTGTATGATAGTTGATAAAATTGGCATGAAATTAGATCTGTTCTATCTATTGTTTTCAGTTTTCAGGAAGCAGGATGCTGCATGTGTGTTCTTTGTGGGTTTTTTGTTGTTTTCTAGGAATTTTCAAGTAGAAATTACTGCTGAAGCAAGTATGTCAGGCCATCTAATCTGGTTTTCTAACAGACCTTTTGTTTTTTCTCTCATGATCCCACCTCCACCTTCAGTCTACAGCATGACATAGTCTCTACTATTTAACATCTTCTTTCTTTATTTGTGGGACTTCTTCTACAGGCTTCGCAAACCATATTCATACTGAATTATCTTCTGTGATCTCTTATCCCTACTTACTGACATCACAAGAAACTCTACAGTTGAATTTACAGAGTATAAACATGGTTCGTAATGCCATGAATTAGACTAGATATGATTGTCTTTTCTGTGCTCTGATTATTGTTTTTTAATAGAAAGTTTTATTTACTTCCCAAATCTGCAAAATTAATTTAAGAAAGCAAGGCTACATGTGAAATTCAACTGTCTTAATATCATGCGGCAGTCAAAATACTGGGTAAATTATGGATAATAAGCTTGCACAACCCTTTAATATTTTATTAAATTCTTGAAGAACATGTGATATAAACAAAGATGAACTTTAAAAAGGTGGAAGAAATATCTTGAAAATAATTACCTAATATATTTATGTAGCCAACTTGTAATGGCTGTACAGCACTGCTCAGATTTAAGTTATTCGTGGGATGATTCTGAGGAATTGCACTTCATGACTGAAATACAAATTTGCTGAAATTTAAGAAACGTCTGAACATGCTAATATGACAGGGCAGTTATGACTATGATTCCTGAACCGTTTCAGCTGTGATCTTTATATGTTCATGTCTTTGACTTTCATCATTAAACTTAAAAGAAACTGTAATAATGGTCATTATTGCTCTTGTCCGGAATATCTTCTAGCACATAGGGCATATCATAGAGCTAATTTTCAGAAATGCTGAACATCTGGAGTGGTCAAGGATTTCAACTCATATTGTAGGTGTTCCATTTTTGTGAATATTGCAGTTCCACATATTCTACAATGACTTAGCTGTTGTTATGGAAAGAAGGACTTAAAAGGGGCTTCTTCACGTTAGTCACTCAAACATCTTTCTGCCTAATCAGAATCAACATCCTGTTTATCTTTCTCCTTGTAGTTTTGGTTTGTGCATCATATCCTTGTGGTGACAAACTCTATCTCATGAACTGGAATTTCCCCCCTAAGATAACGTTTTTAAAGGTGAATTTTCCAACTGTATATATAGTAGAACTACATAAATAGAATTGAGTTGGTTGGGTTTCTTTAATGCATCTATAAAGCTTTCTTTTCAGTGGTGCTGTGGTCTATTCCTAGCTGACAAATTTTTACTGAAATGTGCCAAAGAATTAAATATTTTTTGCTGCTGCTGCCAAGCAGCCCATAAATCAGTGTTGAGCTTGCTAAAATCCAAATTCACCTGTACAGAACCACAAAACAAACAGAAAGACGCTGTTTTTAAATGGCCAGAAGTTTTGTTCTAGACTTCATTGACTTGACCAATCTATTTTGTTTTTCACACAGATCTATCAAGTGTGTTGTTATATTGCTAAAGGTTAGTGCCAGGCTTCTCTTATAATTTATCTGAGCCATCCCCATAACACTTACTTTATTTATAGCAAGGACTTCTTCCTGGGTTTCATTCCATGCATGCTCCCTCTTTTTCTCCTTCTCTGTCGCTTTTGCATTGTGTGATGTGTGCCTAGTGGACATATTCATCTTTCTTCTTCCCAAAATTAAACTATGCTCAGACATGGCCTACTTAGTACTGGCACTAGGTAATCCAGCACCCAGCTTTCCCTCCTTGGGCATGCTGTCCAGGTGCATTCCTGCTAATGGTCAGACCACATTCATTTTCCACTTGCCTTTCAGGACCCTCGTCTGCATGAAATAGTACCCACTCTATGTTTCTTCCCAAGAGTGCACCCCATAGGAAGGTTTACTGGCCTTTTCTCTCTCCCAGCAGTGCCATAGCTGAGGGAAGAGGAGCCGTTGGTCTTGAAAAGACCCACTGCTGATATTGACTGGTTTGTTCTTCTTTGGTTTCATCAGTCTAGGCTGCACAGCTTCCCTGTGTCCCTCTGGTACTCCAGCATATTCCTGCTTCTTTCCATGTGCTCTGAAAGCATTTTGGAAGGCTTGTTGTCCTTCCACAAAACAGGTACTGTCTCTGCTAAACTTCTCCACAGGGCTGTTAGCCTCTCCCCCCATCCCTTCAGTTGGCTAAAAATCACTTTTGTCCCACAGGTCCTCCAAGAGCTTGGTTGATGACCTCTGTGCACTTGTGTCATCCCCATGTTCCTTCCTGGTTTCTTTATCTTTCCCTCTCTCTTTCAAAAAGGGAGGAAGGAGAGGCAAGTAAAATAACAAACCCACCCTTCTGTGTCCCTCAACACCATATAGTTGCCTTAATTTGAGGATATGCCATTATTCTCCCTCCCCCAGGAATGTCATTTTTAACTTGAGGATTACCTGCAGACCTGCTGCTTCTGGCAGTGCCTTGGCAGGAGCCAGTCAGGCCAACACCTCGCACAAGAGCTGTCCCACCATCTTCCTTACAGTGAATGCACCTACAGACTTCTATTTTCTAAAGCCATGCTTTGTTGAAATGCTATCCAAAAATTGCTAACTTAGAATTAAGGTTTTTCTCTTTAAACAGAGGTAACTTGGATTAGCTGGACAGGACAGAAATGCTTGAAAAGAAATCCGTGTCCTGTAAACAGCATCTTTGCAGGATACATTTTTTCCTTGCAGTCTGCTCCAGCAACCTTCAGTGGCTTTCTGATTCAAACACCTTCCACGCAGTCCTCTGGGCTTCTAGGAAACTTTCTGTGGATCATCTGAGCCTGCACTGTAGACCAGTGTCTTCCTTTAGACAAACTCTCTTTTCCTCCCTGGAGTCTCCCAGCCAGCGCCAGTGCAGCAGCCTCTCTTCTTGCCATTCCCTCTCCCCACTCTGCACGTGAGAAGGCTTTCTGAACCAAGATTCCCTATTCAACCCTGGGGAACAAGCTTCATCTTTCTTTTACCTGAAACACAGCCAGAAGTTTTTCCTCTCTGCTGCCATCCACGACCCCTTTAACAAAAGAGAATGTGCACAGTTAATTGAAAACTATGTGAGTTGTTATTCTACCTACACAAGCAGGTACGGGCTGTCCCTGTCTGAAATTTTTAAAGGATGAATCTCTCCCCAGAATGTGCATATGCGTTTTTCTTGTATATGCATGGCATTTACCTTTGATTTTAAATGACAATTATTGTGGCATTTTAAAGTGCAGTAGGTGGTCTTTCAGAAGAGTTAAGCTGATTATTTAAGCTGCTGCAAATGAGAAATTTGTTACTGTTCATGTACAATACAGGATTTGCCCTCTTGAATTACAATTTGAAAGTTGTATTAGTATTGCATTTCACACTGTTTAGTGATAAGTCCACAGGGTATGTGTTTCAGAGTGAATGCAGAGCTGCAGGTAAAATTTATAAAATTTCAATGCAGTTTTGTGCTTTAGGTCTTTCCGTTGGTTTTCTCTTATCCTGACAGTGGTTTCTAATGCTATTCTGGGTCAATGTTGATTGAGAGAAGTATTGTACTAGTAATTCAAGAGCACCATTCTTTGTCTTGGCCTCTTGGCCTGTATTTTTGTGGTTAAATAAATTAAATAAAAGGTTTTAGAGACTGGAAGTATTTTGATCACTCATCCCTGAAAAAAAAGAAAGGGAGGGCAGTTCCACCTAAAGGTTTTTGTTGACTTCTTGCCCTGTGTAGAAGATATGTCTTTATGTATCTCTTCCCTTAAAATGTTCAAAGAATCCATGTGTTCAGGCTCTA